TTGTGGTGTCCTTCCCTCTGGCCTGTGCCTTGTCCAATTCCTGCCCATTCTTCAAAGGCTAACTCTGGTCCTACTGCAGCCAGGAACCATCTTCCCACAACTCAGGCTACCATCTAGTGGGTCCCAAATGTTTGCTGGTCTGGGAGAGCGCTGCTCCTCACGGTCACCCAGAGGCTTTTAGGAAACACCAGTGCCCAGGCCCCTATGCTATATAGTCTGATCAGTGGCTCCGGGGTGGGCCAAGGGCATCTGTATTTTTAAAACGCTCCATCGGTGATTCCAGTGCTCACTTGGGGTGGGGGTAGCTCCAGAGGCTAAGCAATATGCCCAGTTGCTTTCCAGTTGGCCTTGTGGTTAGGAAGCAGCCCGAAGATGGGAACTAGCTTTATGTCTCTCTGGCCTCTGCTGAAGAGCCTAGCTGAGCTGGGGACAGTTGATGCCATTAGCATTCTAGCAAACCACAGAGTCACATTCACTGATGATTCGAGTTTGTGTCCCAAGCCCAGGCCTATCCTTTGGGTCCTAGTCTTACAAAACTCTGCTAATTATTAAGCTGGTGTCTCCCAGCCCCTACCCTGCCTTTCTGGACTCAGTCTCTGATGCTGAGGCTGGGGCTCTGCAGATACAGCATTTTTTTTTTTTTTGCCAGCTGGCTCCATGTGGTTCTGCTACTAGGGGACACCAGAGGAAGACTGGATGCCTTGAAGGGGGTGAAGGAAAGAGCTCCTTTCTGTCTTGCTCCCTCTTCTGGGTGGCATCACTGCCCTTCCCAGTGATGGTCCTTCCCAGGCTGTGGCAGTTAAGCTGTTACTGTCAGTTTCCAGATCTTTTCCCCACACTCCTAGAACTGGCCTCCTGGAACTCTCCCAGAGACACCAGCACCAGTCTGGCAGCGACCCTCGCTCAGCAGGGCTCCTCCTCTGAGCCTCTGGTTCTGATAACCCCATCCTCTTCCCTTCATTTCCCCAGTCCTAGGGGTGACAGTGGCTCCTAGGCATTATAGTTGCCACCTCTGTGTTATCCCAGTGTCCCTTTTCTGTCCTGAGTCCTCCAACATCTATTGAACCAATTCCCATATTCAGTTCTCTCTGTTAAAAGGACTGGTGTGTTTTCTGTTTTCCAGATTGAATCAGGCTGATACAATAACCAGCTGCTGCTATTTGATTCTGATCACTAGTCCCTCAAGTATCTCCATTCATCCAAGGCAGAACTCTAATATTTCCCAAAACTGAAACTGGTCCATTCTTTCCTGTTTGGATCTGTCACCCACCCAGTGCTTAACCCAGAATCTTCGACACCATCCTTGATTACTCTCTCCTGCTCACTCATACACACCCCACTGGTCCGAAAGGGCTCTTGATTCCACCTCGAATCTGTCCCCTCAGCCCAAGTAAACACACTTGTGCTAACAGTCCTCCTGCCTTTTCTCTTGGTTCCCTGCAACTCACTGCCCATACAGAACCGAAAGTAACACTACTGAAATATAAATAGGGTTGTGACATTTCCTGGCTTACAGCTTCCTGAGATGCATGACCTCTGTGATGGCCCACAAGTTCTGCCAAGGCCACTTACCCATCCTTCTTTCCTCCTTGTTTCTTCCAATGCAGCCTCCAGAGCTGTGTTCCTGTTTTTCTTCCTGCCACAGGACCTTGGCACCTGCTGCAGCTCTACCAAAAATGCTTTTCTCCTCTGCTTGTCACATGACTGGTTCCTCTCCATTCTTAAGGAGACAGGTTTAAATTCACCTCTAGGGAGCCCTTCACTGACAGCCTCTGTTTTAGTCCGTTTGGTTGGCTATAACAAAGTATCATAGACTGGGTGTCTTATAGCAACAGAAATTTATTTCTCACAGTTTTAGGGGCTGGAAGTCCAAGATGGGGTGTCAGCATAATCAGGTTCTGACAAGGGCCCTCTTCTGGGGTGCGGATGGCTATCTTCTCATTGTGGTGGAAAAAGAGTGAGCTAGCTCTCTGGCTTCATCTTATAAAGGCACTAATCCCATTCTTGAGGGCCCCACTCTCATGACCTAATTACCTCCCAAGGTAATTAGGAAACACCATCACATTGGGGTTAGGGTTTCAACACATGGATTTTGGAGAACACAACATTCAGGCCATTGCACCCTCTTTAGAATCGATACCTCCCAGCTCCATGCTCCTTTCCTCCCTAGCACTTTTCATCATTTCTAGTCATCTATATACTTATAGCTTTATCTGTCTTCCTCATTAGACTATAACATATGTGGGGCAGGGACCATGCCTGTTGAATTTCCCACTGTGTTCCTTGCACCCAAGTCTCATTACAGATGTGTTAAATGAATGAATGAATCTAGAGTGAATATAAAAAGAAAAAGAAAAGGAAAAAAAGTAAGAAGAGGAGAGGTGCCAGAAAACTACCATTTTCTTAGCTATCAACTGTACTAATATACTATAGGCTCTTTTCAAGTAGACACTGCCACTAATTATCTGTTCCTATAGCCATACACTGTTCTCTAAAGAAAGACTGATAGAGATGCTGAAATACATAGATATACAGAGAGATTATGGTTGGACACAGTGGTGTATATAGATGAATATCTTTGTTATATTTGGCACATAAATATATATATATACACACACACACAAACATATATGTACTACTGTGCACATGCAGAATTACAAATCACTATATTGTATGTCTGTAACTTACATAATATTGTACATTAACTATACTTCAATTAAAAAACTTTCCTCTTTAACAGTATTTTCCACTTTGTAACATGCTTTTGTGTATATTACTCATTTGAATTTGACAACAACCCAAAGAAGCAGGGAAAGAAACATTATTCTTATTTAATTAAAGATCAGCTCTAAAATACCTAATCAAACCATGTCATCATATAGACAAAGAAACTGACATCCAGGGTGAGAGAGGGACTCGCTCAAGGCCATGCAACTGGTTAGTAAAGATAAAGTGCTGGTATTACACCAGATCCTTGCCTCTCTTTTTATACCACAGGAAGGGTCCTGGGAGGGTACACTCTGTGTGAATCATAACCCCAGGGAACAAATGATGTGCAAGGGTTTCTGCATCATTAAGAAATTTCATCTTGTGTTTGGACGAACAGCTCAGCTACCGCTTAAACGGGCCTCTCAGAGAATCCCACTAACTTCTGCGTTGCTGAATGCAAGTTTACCCATTCTCTAGAGAGGCAAGATCAGGTGCTGGTGCTTATTTGATTCTGGCCATCCTACTTGGCTCTGTGAGTAGGTGTGATCATTGTAATGCAAAATTCATATCATTCTTCTTTTTTTTTAGTTTAATTTCCTTTTAGTTTATCAGTAGTAAAATCCATGCTGCCATGTCATTTAATTTGCTCCCCGTGCTAATGATGATTTTGAAGGCTTTTACAGAAGCCTTCAAATAATATTACCATATTATTATATGGTAATACCAAATCTGATGGTGGATTCAAGCCATCATTTATAGTAATAGGATCATAATGAAGCTCCCTCGGGTATTCCTTCTTGTAATGCTGTTGAGGGGCGGGGCAGGAATCTGCTTGGCTTCATCTCATATTATTAGAAGATCATCACTAGGGATCTTTCACAGGGAATGGGGCTTTTCTGGCTCTGATGCTGAGCCTCTGGGCAAAATAATGGGTTGCAAAGCCATGGTCCTCCAGGTGAAGCCAGATGAGCTGGCCACACCTGCCACGGGACAGCTCATGAAAAGGATTGGATTAGAGGAGGTGGAGACCACTGACCACCAGTCCCCTCCCATGACCACTCCCACTTCTGTGTGTAGACCCTCATGGTGCAAACTGACTTGTCGGGGGTGGGTTCACAGGAGGGTGACTCTGTGTGCCTGCCTTCCAGCAGTAGTTCCTCTGTCCCTGGTATTAATGTGCAATGTGAGTTTCACTGAGCCAGCCACTGGGACAGAATGAATGAGATGCCAACTCTGTCCTAAAGACTGGGGACCAATGAGAGCTCCTGAGCATCACGGGCTGGAAGAGATGTCTCTGTGGGGGATGGTGTGGGGGAGGAGGGCTTGGGGTTTAGTGAGAACCCAGGAGAGGAAGGAGGTATCATCCCCACTAAGACCACCTGGAGAATCAGCAAAGGCTTCACAGAAGTGGTTGAGCTGGGTCTTGAAAGACTGGTGGTATTTTCTAGGCAGCAGTGGGGTGGGGTTCAGGAGTGGGTCGTTCCAGGCAGACGGGTCCTTGTCAAGCTTGGGTACTTCACATTGTCTGAAGGGCCTGGCCAAGTTCAGTGAGGCTGGAGCTGACACACGACTCTGCCATTCTTTCCTGCCATGCTTCAAAGAACCATAGCGGGGGGGCATCCCTGGTGGTGCAGTGGTTGAGAGTCCGCCTGCCGATGCAGGGGACGCGGGTTCGTACCCCGGTCCGGGAAGATCCCACGTGCCGCGGAGCGGCTGGGCCCGTGAGCCATGGCTGCTGGGCCTGCGCGTCCGGAGCCTGTGCTCCGCGATGGGAGAGGCCACAGCAGTGGGAGGCCCGCGTACCGCAAAAAAAACCAAAAAAAGAACCATAGCGGGGTGCCTCCCACCAGGCATTCTACTGCTCTTCCTTTGCCTGGGGATCAGAAAGAGTGAGAACAGGGAGTACGCTCCTTCTTATGGCTCTGGGGCAGACCTCAGACCATGGGGTTAAAGTTATTGGGAAGGCAAGTTCAGGCTCAATAACTAGGAAGCGCATTCTAACAATGTTGGCCTTTTCATATTAAAATAGACTGCATAGTGAGGGAATGAGCTACCCATCAATCAGTGACTTGCCCAAACACCCAGAGCTAGTTAGACCAGGGTCAACATGCATTCCCAGGGAGCCTGACTTCAAAGAGAGTGCCTTTAAAATTTTTTTCCACCAACACTGCCTCATACAAAACACCACAGAATTCTGAGCCTAGGATTAGGTCTGAGCTCATGGAAACATAGCCACCTGCTGACTTTTGTATCTTAGTTTCTATTTAATGAGCAAGCAGCAAGCCATGACATCAGGCATTTCCTTTTATTAGCTCTTAGTAGACTTCTGCTGAAATGGCTCAGATGTCCCGGGAACATCGTCTACAACCTCATTGAAGAATGTGGTGAGAAAGATACATATACACATGTGTGTGTGTCTATATATGTCTATTTTGCGGTATGTCTCTGAGGTTGCTGCCTGCTCTGCGGGGGACGCTCAGAAGCGTTTCTGGAGGGCAGTCTGGATATTCTTCAGCAGGTTCCACTTAGCTCGGTTCTTCCCACGCCCATCCGGTGTTACCACCTGCAATCAGAAGCAGAGAGCCATGGCACCAGCCACAAGGGAAACAGCAGCTCCCAGGATCCCGGCCCCGGCTGCGGGCCAGGCGCTACACACATCACAGCATTAGCTCCTCATGTCGACAACCACATGAGGCCGGTGCCATTGACCCCATTTTACCAATGAAAAAACTAAGGCACAGAAGAACTAGGTAGCTTTCCTGAAGTCCCGCAGCTAATATGTGGTGGGGTTGGGATTTCACAGACAAGGTCCCACTTCTTTAAGGCAGTTCAAGGACTGACTGCTGATTACTGTGTTGTGGTTGTGACCCCAGGTGGGCTTCACCAGAGATTAGCCCCCGGGGTCCTCCCCCAGTCCCTGGAAATTGCTTCTGTCACAGCTCTTATCATTTGTAAATTTCAGTGAATGTGTTTAATTAATTTTCTTACCAGACTGTGAGCACCTTAAATGGGGTGTGGAGGCAATGACAGTCTTTCCTCTCTGTAATCCCAACAGTGGTTATGGTACAGAGAAGTTTCTTAGAAAAGTGAATGAAAGGCGAATAGAACCATTATTTGTACATCTGCCAACTGTTTCTCTTTGCAGCATCATACTATCTCTGATCACAGTGAATAGTCAATGCTCCCTAGAAAAGGCAGCTTACATTGGGTAGCAGAACCCTCCTAGAGGTCTCACCAGCTCAGCTTAGATGTGGAGCTCCGTGCCTTACCTTGAAGGTGGTGGACTTCTCCACAACTCTGGTCTGGCAGCATTCCTATTCCTTACTAATACACATTTACTGAGAAGTCATTTAGGGAGTGAGGTCAAGATCCAGGTATGAGAGACAGCTCACAGGATCAATCAGGATTCATGGGGCAGATGGGGCTAGGGGTGCAGTTTGGATGAGGAAGAGCAATGTTTGTACAAAGTATATGCAAAGACTTTTATGTTTGTTTTCAAAGGGAAAGGGCAAAAAATAGACACCATTATTATTATGCTCTCTAGTTTTACAAAATTTACTTTTAGTTTTAGAGAAAACAGGGCTTCATGCAAGATAAAGATTATGTTATACCTACGATGTTAGATTATTCATTGCTGGATAAAATGGACATAACACATAGAGATAATCCTGATAAGGGTGGTAAAAATGTGTAAGATATACACACAGAGCTATCAGGGTGCAATGAGGAAGGAATAACAGTGTTATGGTGGGTTGGGAATTGACTCATAAAAATAGGGAATTTAAGTTCTGCCTTAAAGTATAGTCAGGATCTCCAGAGATAAAGACTTGAGTGTGACATGTGAATGGGGCAGTGGGGAATGAGGTGTGTCTGTGAATCAGAGGATCAGATGAAACAGGACAGAAGAAACAGAGAACAGAACTTGAGATACCAAAGAAATTGAAATGATAGTTGACATTCCCTCCCCTGCCCAAAAGGCTCAGATGGTTTTCCAAATGAATTCTACCAAACTTTTAAGAAAGAGTTGTTCTACAAAACAGAAAAAGAGCAATAGTTTCTTAGTTCATTTTTCAAGCTAGTAAAATATTGATTCCAGAACCAGACAAAAGAAATATAAGCAAAATATTATAGGTCTGGTTCACGAATGATGAGAGATGCAGTACTCCAAAACAAAATATGAGCTAACTAAAACCAAGTATATTAAAAAAATAATACATCATGATCACATAGGGTTTAGTCCATGAATGCAAGTAGAGTTTAACATCAGAAAAATCAGTGTAATTAATTTCATTAATGCCTAAAGGAGAAAAATCATATGATTATCTCAAATAATACAAGAAATTCACAAAGTTGCACAAGCTCTCAGAAATTTAGAAGTAGAAAGAATTTTCCTTAACTTAATAAGGTTTATATATAAAAAATTACCACTGAATTAGACACTTCAAAAGAGTGAATTTCTTAGTATGTGAACTATATTTCAATAAAGCTTTTATAAAAAATGAAAAGTCAGAACACTGTTAAAAAAAACTAAATCAAAAATCATCATAGCTCAATGGAGAAACATTAAGATCAGGAATAAGACAAGGATATTAACTCTCACAGCCACCATTTTCTGTAGGACCAATAGCCCTGGCCAAAGCTATAAGGAAAGAAAAAGAAATAGCGGTTCAAGAATTGTAAGGAAAGAGATAAAACTATCATTATTTATAGATGATAGGATCATATGCCCGGAAAAACAAGCAGAATCAACAGAGAGACTCTCAGAATAATGAGATATTATTGATATTGCTGGAATCAAGATTATCCTACAAACACAGTAGTTTTTATTCTAAACCAGCAGTACATTAGAAAGTATAATCAGATATAAAAATAACATTAATAATATCAACTAAATCTGTAAAATATCTGGTTGAACTAGGAATATATAGTACCTCTATGGGAAGAGTTTAAAAGCTCCATACTGCTCTCCATAGTGGCTGCGTCAATTTACATTCCCACCAACAGTGCAAGAGGGTTCCCTTTTCTCCACACCCTCTCCAGCATTTATTGTTTGTAGATTTTATGTTGATGGCCATTCTGACTGGTGTGAAATGATATTTCATTGTAGTTTTGATTTGCATTTCTCTAATGATTAATGACATGGAACATTCTTTCATGTGTTTGTTGGCAATCTGTATATATTCTTTGGGGAAATGTCTATTTAGGTCTTCTGCTTACTTTTGGATCGGGCTGTTTGTTTTTTTGATATTGAGCTGCATGAGCTGCTTGTAAATTTTGGAGATTAATCCTTTGTCAGTTGCTTCATTTGCAAATATTTTCTTCCATTCTGAGGATTGTCTTTTCATTTTGTTTACGGTTTCTTTTGCTGTGCAAAAGCTTTTAAGTTTCATTAGGTCCCATTTTGTTTATTTTTGTTTTTATTTCCATTTCTCTAGGAGGTAGGTCAAAAAGGATCTTGCTGTGATTTATGTCATAGAGTGTTCTACATATGTTTTCCTCTAAGAGTTTTAAAGTGTCTGGCCTTATATTTAGGTATCTAATCCACTTTGAGTTAATTTTTTTGTATGGTGGTAGGGAGTGTTCTAATTTCATTCTTTTACATGTAGCTGTCCAGTTTTCCCAGAACAACTTATTGAAGAGACTGTCTTTTCTCCATTGTATATCCTTGCCTCCTTTATCAAAGATAAGGTGTCCATATGTGTGTGGGTTTATCTCTGGGCTTTCTATCCTGTTCCATTGATCTATATTTCTGTTTTTGTGCCAGTACCATACTCTCTTGATTACTGTAGCTTTGTAGTATAGTCTGAAGACAGGGAACCTGATTCCTCCAGCTCTGTTTTTCTTTCTCAAGATTGCTTTGGCTATTCAGGGTCTTTTGTGTTTCCATACAAATTGTGAGACTTTTTGTTCTAGTCCTGTGAAAAATGCCAGTGGTAGTTTGATAGGGATTGTACTGAATCTGTAGATTGGTTTGGGTAGTATAGTCATTTTCACAATGTTGATTCTTCCAAGCCAGGAACATGGTATATCTTTCCATCTATTTGTATCATCTTTAATTTCTTTCATCAGTGTCTTATAATTTTCCGCATACAGGTCTTTTGTCTCCTTAGGTAGGTTTGTTCCTAGATATTTTATTCTTTTTGTTGCAGTGGTAAATGGGAGTGTCTCCTTAATTTCTCTTTCAGATTTTTCATCATTAGTGTATCGGAATGCACGAGATTTCCATGCATTTATTTTGTATCCTGCAACTTTACCAAATTCATTGATTAGCTCTAGTAGTTTTCTGGTAGCACCTTTCGGATTCTCCATGTATAGTATCATGTCATCTACAAACAGTGGCAGCTTTACTTCTTTTCCGATTTGGATTCCCTTCATTTCTTTTTCTTCTCTTATTGCTGTGGGTAAAACTTCCAAAACTATGTTGAATAATAGTGGTGAGAGTGGGCAACCTTGTCTTGTTCCTGATCTTAGTGGAAATGCTTTCAGTTTTTCACCATTGAGGATGATGTTGGCTGTAGGTTTGTCATATATGGCCTTTATTATGTTGAGGTAAATTCCCTCTTTGCCTACTTTCTGGAGGGTTTTTATCATAAATGGGTTTTGAATTTTGTCAAAAGCTTTCTCTGCATCTATTGAGATGATCATATGGTTTTTCTACTTCAGTCTGTTAATATGGTGTATCACATTGATTGATTTGAGTATACTGAAGAATCCTTGCATTCCTGGGATAAACCCCACTTGATCATGGTGCATGATCCTTTTAATGTGCTGCTGGATTCTGTTTGCTAGTATTTTGTTGAGGATTTTTGCATCTATGTTCATCAGTGATATTGGCCTGTAGTTTTCTTTCTTTGTGACATCTTTGTCTGGTTTTGGTATCAGGGTGATGGTGGCCTTGTAGAATGAGTTTGGGAGTGTTCCTCTCTCTGCTATATTTTGGAAGAGTTTGAGAAAATAGGTGTTAGCTCTTCTCTAAATGTTTGATAGAATGCACTGTGATGGGCTTCCCTCGTGGTGCAGTGGTTGAGAATCTGCCTGCCGATGCGGGGGGCGCGGGTTCGTGTCCCGGTATGGGAGGATCCCGCGTGCCGCGGAGCGGCTGGGCCCGTGGGCCATGGCCGCTGAACCTGCACGTCTGGAGCCTGTGCTCCGCAGCGGGAGAGGCCACAGTGGTGAGAGGCCCGCGTACCGCAAAAAGAAAAAAGAAAAAAGCAAACAAACAAACAAAAAAGAATACACTGTGAAGCCATCTGGTCCTTGGCTTTTGTTTCTTGGAAGATTTTTAATCACAGTTTCAATTTCAGTGCTTGTGATTGGTCTGTTCATATTTTCTGTTTCTTCCTAGTTCAGTCTCAGAGAGTTGTGCATTCCTAAGAATTTTTCCATTTCTTCCAGGTTGTCCATTTTATTGGCATAGAGTTGCTTGTAGTAATCTCTCATGATCTTTTTTATTTCTGCAGTGTCAGTTATTACTTCTCCTTTTTCATTTCTAATTCTATTGATTTGAATCTTCTCCGTTTTATTCTTGATGAGTCTGGCTAATGTTTTATCAATTTTGTTTAT